CTACAAAATGGGTGGCACAACTGGCCAAAAAGCTACATTACATAATTAAGTATCAATAACTTATAGCCCTAATGACATAAGTGCAGTGAAAAACGGATCTTTGTTCTGACTCACATGGCCAGAACATATAGTGTCTCTGACAAGCAGCTTAAAGTGGATGCCTAGGGTATAGCCTAAGGAGAGGGGATACATATGTGGGACCTTCTAATAACCTCACGCTTTAAAAGCCAGATGTGGTTCCCATGTGTTAGTACCTCTCAATGGATTTATCTTCTAGCCTCCCCTTAAGCCCACTTTAAAACCTGAAATGACTAACTAAGAATAATGTATCAGACAATTCCATGGTAGTCTATCTGATTCCAAAACTATTTATATTTTCATAGGTGATGCAGATGCTACTAAAATACACATAAAAACTGAGACAGTCCAAGGCAGGAACTGAGAGCTCTTTAGAGGACAGCAGAAAATTTTCAATTTATCAACACCAATGATCTGAAATAAATAGGATGAAGTATTACATGTAGGAATAATCAACTACCAAAATCCAAAATAAATAGTATGACAGTGTATCAGCTCCTCCAGAAAGTTTCTTGGGATTACAGTAAACAGAAATTTGAACATAACTCAATATCCCACCTGCATGATTTTGCAACAGTTTTACAACATGATGAATAAACAGACTCTTATATGTTTTACACGTAAGCTTTCATTTGTAGTCAATACAGATGAGACTTTTAGCTGGAATACTGTATCCAATTTTGAGTATTGTACTTCAAGAACAATTTAGACTAATGTGAATGTAGTAGAAGTCTTTCAGATTTCTGATCAAATTCATGAAAGAATCACGGTTATGCAGTCTAGAAACGATCATGAAGAAAAATGACAAAATTTCATACAGAGGAAAGAAACAAAGTCTTCCTATGCTCAGTGAGAAGAGTAACAAGCTCAAAATTGCAAGAGGAGAAATTCTGAGATAAGGAAAATCTTTCTGCTGCTTGGGATAGATGAGCAGTGAAACACATTGCTGATGGAGGCTGCAAAATCTCCAGTACTGGAGATTTACAGG